CTTTCCCTAGGGTCAGTTTAAGAAGACTTTTGTTATTAGTTATACTGAATGAGCTGAATACCTCCATTGTCATTCATAAAATAAGCTAGACTAGGAGTATATAGCTCCCATTATGTATTCTAGATCGTAAAAAATTATATTTGGTGATCTTTTTAAATTGCTAAACTTAGGACTGATACTGTTTTTATTAGAGCAATGTCTCTTTTTAATACTCAAATATTAATGGTGACAAATCTTACATGCCTGAAAGTGCCAGGATTTTATCAGTGCTTTACTGGTAAAGTTAATATTTTAATATTTCAGCACTACAAGCAAAATTTGGCATTTCAGCTTAATTTCTATTGATTTTTTTTTGCACTAAAGGTTTTGAGATGTACTATAGTTTTCTTCTCAGTTATAACATCAGAATGTAAACTCTTTGCCATAGGAGTCTAAACTGATTAAAGGTCGTCACATTTTGGTTAGCCTTTATCAATATTTTTCTTATATGTATCCACAGAGTCTTCATTTCTGTGCTCTTTTCCTCTGTAATAAGGTGGGGATAAAATTAGAGAGCAATTGGTTCAGACAAGTGGCATGTGAAAGTTTATCTATTTATTTACAATTGTTGGGGGAACCCCCTTTCTTTTAAGTATATGGGAAAAATGGTACGAATCATCACAATAATAGAACATCTGGATATTGACTGCTCCTCTGCTGCACTGCAAAAGCAGAAAGCATTTCATTAATATTTATCCTCTGATGGTGCTACTCCATTAAATTAGGTTGTCTAGTCTTAGACCATTAGCACCATTGTGCCTTCCACTCAGCCAGTCTGTTTGTTTAGATATGAAAAAATGCCTTATCTATAAAGCCAAGTATAAAATTAGGATACGTACAGATTCAGATAGGCAGAGGTGGCTGCAGGAAAGAATTTGATTCTGAAAGGTTTTCCTGTTCATGCACAGAGCAAACTGTCATGGATTTGTGAACAATGTGCCTTATAATCAGAACAGAATCCATTTGCAAGAAGAATCACACAAACAATAAGAAAAATACAATTTCCTTAGAAACAGAGATAGCATTTTCAAAGTTCATAATATAATTCTGTTTAACTTGGCTAGGTAGTCATAGACTTAGTATTACATTGTGTAATAACATTGGCATAGCTTGCATTTGGGTTATATTTATGTTTTAATTACAGATTTTCACCAAGATAAATTTGCAGTAGGCTATGGAAAAGGTCTTATGAATTTCCTCATATCAGATTGTGACTCGTAGTTATATGAGTATATTATATTTGATAGACTCCTTTAACTCATGTTTAACCCCTCAGCCCCTGTGTTGTCAGAACTGCTTCTTGTGAGTCCTTTGCCATCTTAAGATCACAAATGCTGCTCTGATACTGATGTAAAGGATCAGAGCATTTCTTGTGTCCCTTTTCTTTTTGTGAACACTGAGCTATACATAGTGGCCAACTATATATTTTATCTTACTTCTTATGGGCCACAGGAGGTACAGCCATATCAGTTAAATTTGTGTTATAATTTGCAGATTTTGTAGTAGCCCTCTGTAGTTAACAAGTACAGAATAAATGTAGTCCTTGACCTTTCCCATTGGTTCTGGCCCTGTCACTGTCTAGGTCAGAAATCTATCACGACAGAGAGATGCTTTTAGCAAAATCATGCTTCCTTTTGATGGAAAACAGGGTGCATGATAAGTGGGTTGATATATATTTTGCCACAAACTGAAAGCAAGATCTGGGAAAAGCATGCACTGACATCCAGGAAGTACATTGAAGTCCTTCAGTTTAAAATTGACTTTTTGAACCCAGAATCCCTGCAAAAGTGAGTGCATATGGTCTATAGCAGGAATAAAACAAAACATCCCATACTTCTGTGCAGACTAGAATTGTATTTTTTTGTTCTTATTCTATCTTCAGCCTTCCTGGGAAAGATCTTGGCAGAAGGAGTGGCCAGCCTTGAGAGCAACCTCTGTGGAAAGCTCTGGCTTTCCAGGTAGGCTGCAGATCAGTTGTCAAGAGAATGGAATAATGGCAAAGCATCCACTCTTTGGAGAATTCTCTTATGCATGAATCCAATCCTAAAAGGCTGAATTCTTTATGTAAAACATTCCAACCCTGGGAAGTTTCCAACTATAAATCATTTTGTCTTGAGTTTGAGCAACTTTTTCCTCAAGCCTCCTGAAGTTTGTTCTCAAACCAAGGTGACAGGTTCCCTTTTCACTATTTCACGTGCAGTAACAAATCTTGCCCCCTTGCCCATATGACAGCACTATTACTTTTAAGGTTGTGTACTCCCAGACATCATTTTTCAGTCTGTGGGATGGATGGCATGAGAGGCTGCAGAAAGAAAGGAGAGGGGAGGGCACGAAGAAGGAACCCTTCAGGGCTTCCTGCAGGCAACCCCAGGCAGCTGGTGAGGAAGCAACGAGCAGACAGTCCCTGGTGGTGGCCAAAATACCTTCCAGAAGGGACAGTCAGTGATGGCTGCCCCTCAGGAGGGTGCTGTTTGCTGTTTTTTGTTGATTAAATGTCACCATCACAGCCTTTGTCAGGCTCATCATCTTTGACCAACTACAAATAATGAACCATATTTGCTGCCTGCCTGTCCACACCCCTGGCTGTGGAGCCAGTGTATCCCAAATGTGTATTTTTTACAAAAGCAGAAGTTAGCCTGTAATAACATATGATAGATATAGTTCAGATTGTTTCTTTTTCAAAAGTTATTCCCACTTTTTGCTGCCACTGGCCTTGTTCTGCAGGCTTCAGGGAGTAAATCTTGTCACTGGATCTTGGGGAATCTCCACTGATTTTTTGACAAAATTTCCGTTTGCATCCTCCTCTTAAAGACCCTGTTTCTTTTTGCAATTCCATCAGGTTTTTTCTGCAATCTCTCCAGCAGGTCAGAAGAAGCAGTACATTGTTAAATCCTAGGACTTGATTTCAAACAGTAAGGTAGTCTAGGGAAAAGAAACAGCTTGCAACTATTACAGAGTACAGTGAAATCCCTTAGGTGCTGCTGGTCCCTTCCTTAGCTTATAGAGCCTAAATAAAAATTTCCAGAGCATTCCAGAGTATAAAGTCACTGCCATCTATGGGCCATGACAGGACACTTTGAATCATGCCAATAATGCATTGCAGATTTCCAAGATCTTTCCTTCACAGGAAGTCGTGTAAGCTTAATCAGAAGAAAAAAACACCTATCATTCAAACGAGTAAGCTTTCTGTCAGAAGAAAATAGGTATTTTCTGAAATGCATTAAAGTATGTCTAAAATCCATTAACCTGTTCAAAGTGAAGTTACAACATTTCAAGTAATTGGGAGAAGTCTAATATTTAAAGAAGTAATTAGATGGTGTATTAATTATAGTCTCTATTCATAAGACTACATGTACATTTTATTCTAGTATTTCAGTTTAAATACGTGCTCCTCACAGCTTGAAATTTTGGTAACAGACTGTAGGAAGAATGTATACTTCCTCTTATTGTAGTTTCTCAAAAAATTTCCACTGTTTGAAGCACAGGTGAAATGCAGTTATTTTTTATATTGATCATTGTTGCCTTCCTCCTGCTCCTTCCCTTAACAGAATCATGAGGTTGCTTCTGTGTGTTTGTTTTTTTAATCTGCTTTTCTCAGCCATCTCCCTTTATTCCTGCTGGAGGAATAGTGATCCACCTGCTGCCCTGTGCATTTGTTACACATGGCTGAAGTTCACTCTGCATGTTTTATAAAAACTGTTTGTTTTATATAAAAGGTGCATGCATATTGCTAAGAACAGGTTAACAGTCCAACAGAATCTGACTGAAACCTAATCCTCTCCTGGTTATATCTATTCTGTGAACTAGATTTCCTTCTGAACAGGCTGGAAGCACCCTTTGAATAACTTACACCTGCTCTAATGTCACTGTGTGGTATAATAAATGTATATGGTGCCCTGTGGGTGTCACAGTTGTACTATTAAGCACATGCCAAGGACATTCCTGCTCAGTTTGGAGACAAATCCTGCTCCAAGGGAGTAAACCTAGCCTTAAGGCAGCACATAAAATATTACAGATTACTGGTTTATCAAGTAACTAATGACAGGGAATAAATGTTCTTCTTCCAAGTCATCCTCTCATGTAAAAGCATCATCCAAGCACCAACCATCATTTGCTGTCTAGCAAAGCAGCACTCAGTCAAAGCACAGAAATTGATGTTTCTGGTCTCCATGCTAGAGCAGCTGATCTGCAGTGATAATTCCCAGAGATCATAATTCTCAGGGATCTCTGTGAGACTCAGGAATTCTCAGGAATTCTCATCAGTTGCCTGGAATAAATTTCCAGGAGATTAACAGAGGACTTTTGCACAGAGTATTTCTCCTTACAGAGTTTCAAAGTGAATTCCATGTATGACTACATTACAGCTACCAGGAAAGAGACATTGAGCTCAGCAGCAGCAGTGAAGCAGCTGAACCATGCTCGAAGTTGACAGGCTTTAAAGAAAAAGTTAATTCCTATTTTCTTTTACCCACAGGTCTACCCACGGATAGCGCCGGCATTTTGGCACTACCTGCGGGTAGAAGTGAGTAGCGGGTATTTGAATGCTCCCACATCTTTATTTTACAGCTTGGTAGTGTTTACTGACCTCCTAGTTTGTCCATTGTGCAAAAAAAAAAAAAAAAAAAAAGAGCTTCCATTCTAGTTGCCATTCTTCTGTGAATGTAGTCTTGTACTAATTCATGTTGGTTTGACTACACTTGGGTTTGGTTGCTAACCCAAGTCACAAAACTATGTCTGTATGCAAGGTTAAAGACAAAAAACCTGAAATCTAAAAGTCAAGGCCATATCATACATTCTGACTGTAGCACAGAACCAAACTACAGAAATCCATACCTGCACCTCCTTTTATAAACACATTTTACATTCATGAGAAGAATATGGAGCTTCAATTCTGTTATATCATTTTTGCAAAGATTGTTCAACTCAACTTGATATCATTTCTTCCCTCTTTTGTCCCTCAGGAGCATGAGCAGCTCAGCTATTCCTCCACAAGGTCCAAGGCTCCAAGTGTTATCATCACAGGTCTCAAGCCAGCCACCAAGTATATATTTCATATCAGAGTCAGGACGGCAGCAGGATACAGCGGATATAGCCAGAAGTTTGAATTTGAAACTGGAGATGAAAGTAAGTCTTACTGAAGGAAAAAAAAAAATCCAATAGAAGTAGCATCTAATTCTAAACCAGTGAGACATTGGGAGTTGGAATGGCTGAACCCATACCATTTGTTTATAACAAAATCACCATTGCTACATGATAAAAAACAAGCCTCAGACTCACAGTTCTGGATTTGCAACAACTCATAGAAATGTTAGCCCAGTGCTGCAGCTGAAGGAATATTCTCTTTCATAAAATTTCCTTATGGGTCCCTTCCAAGCTAAGATGCTCTAGGATTCTCTGATCCTTTCTTATAGAAGTCCTGCCTCTTGATATCTTAGAAATACTTAGCCAGGCTTTCCCTAAGTCCAGCAAGCTCCCAGTGATGAACTCTTCACTCTGTAGTTGTCAGTGCTCCCAGACTCCACAAATAAAAAGTGAAAACTTTTATATGCATTTCTATCAACCAGTAAATTTGGCACTAAAGCCTCCCTAGTCTTACAAAATATGCGAAAAGGCTTCATGTGTGATGTTCACCCTCTGAACGATTTTATATTTGTCCTGTGTTGGCCTCCATGTTCAAAGAAACATAGAAAAAAGTATTTACATGTATTTGAGACAAAATTAGTGTAGTAGATACAACACTAAAACACTCATTAATTAAATTACTTTAATTAGCCAATTATGTATACCATGTTTTTCATTAGTGTTTTAGAATTCAAGTTGTTTAAGCTGATGTACAGACTTAAAACTATGTAAGTGCTCACAAGAGCACCCAGGGATTTGTGTTCCATTTTTATTGCTTCTTAACTTCTATTTCAAAAATCAATCAGGGATAGATTTCCAAGTGCTTAATGCCTAATTGGACTTTTTAAAATTTTCTGGGTACTTAAGCCAATTGGTTTGAATAGGAGTTGAGCACTTGGGTGCTTTCAAGAATTTCAGTAGATCTTGCCTGTATCTTCTGGTGTAATAAATACGAGGTTTAATTCATGTATAAAGAAAATAATATTTAAACCTCTATGAGATTTCACATTGTAAAAATGTATCTTGAGCATCTAAATCAGTGACATTTCCCTCATTGATATTGAGGGAATCTCCTGGCAGTGACATTCCCCTTACTCCATCCTAGCCCCATCTCTCCTCAGTGCACTGATGCAGCTGGCCCTTGGGCTGCATGGTGAGCTTAATTTTAACATACTTTTTGAAATATAACATCAAAGCTGAACCTGATACTGAAATAAACTGGAAAATAAATCTGTCTATGATGCCATGAACAGACCTAACACAGCTTATCTCCCAACAGTTCTGATTTCTTTTACTTCTATGTCTAAGCATTTGCTGCCTAAGCTAGTACATGGTTTCACGTAGCTGAATAAATTGAATTCAGCAATGGTTTTGTGAGTATTTCAAGATGCTGATTCACCTTTACACAGAGAGATTTGGGAGAGTTGTGTTGAGATTTGGGCTGCTTGGTTCTGTCAGTACCCATAAATGTTAATTTGCCCTTGCTGGCCTGCATCTGTCTTACAAACCAGTCCTAGTCCAGCTGTGTAGGAATATCTCTTCATCATTTACTATTCTGTCAGTGCACAGCTCAGCCGAAAATTTTCTGATTTTTTTAATATAAACTGTTCTCAATTTTTCTGAAGGATAGCAAATAATATTAGGCCAAAGCAGACCATTGCAGCTCCCTCCATCCCTGCTTGCTAGAAACAAGCTACTTGGTGAAAATTCCACTTTTGTAATTACTTTTTGAGGACTTTCAATTAGATTTTAATTAACTGAAAAGCAGCATTGTCATGAGAAGGCTGGGAAGAATAGAGTGTTTTGAAATTCTGTGTTGTGAACAGAAAATTTATGAAAATAACAACAAATACTGTAAGTCATGTGTTTGATAAAAATCCTCTTTAACTGGCCTTAGCTTTTAACATCCTTCAGCTCTCTGCCAATTGAACATGTTACAGTAGAGAAGAATTCCCAGAGCAGTTGCAGGTAAACATCCAAGATTATTCCATTTACCCTCCTTGAATGTTGATAGAATTTGTTAATAGATAGCAATAAAGTGAGCAATCAAAAATTAGGGTTTTTCTTTAATAGACTAATTATAGAAAACTAATGATTCATCAGCTGTGAGATGTGTCTATCAATGTCCTAAAACATATTTTGTCCTTTGGCAGGACAGTGTCCTACCTGTGCCCCTTCAGTTATGAAGGATAAAATAGATACATCATTACCAGGAAAACTAAAACATTTTGTTGTGATTGCTAAAGGTGGTGCATGAGGGACAGAGAAGAGCAAATCTGCAGGAGTAGTGGAAGAAATTAATTATTAATGCTGATGTGTTTTTTGGGGAGCACCCTCTGTTACTGACCCTGGAGTGAGGCAGCCATGGCTTGAGGAGCTCTGTTGTTGAACTCTTCTCCCTCCTGCAAAGACAAACAAGTGGAGCATCCAAAAGAGTAAAATCTGTAATTTTTTTGTGATAGGAAATGGAGTTACCTAGGATAGTCAGAAAACTTCTCTTCAAGGAAGCAGGGAGGGATGAAGGGATGCTGACTGGCATTTCTCCCCCTTTTAAAGCTCAGAGGCTGCACCTGGGAAATGTGAAACCTTTCCAAAGCACAGCAACCACCCCTGTGACTGTTTCTTGTTGCCATTGTATTCAGTCTCTGTTTCAGCACCTTACAGGTAAAACACTCATAGCAAAGCTGGCAGGTTTCAATACACTCCAGCACACACACAGCTGCCACTGCTGGGGCTTTAAATTGGAGCATAAACCTCACTTGCAGTTCCTGCTTTTATCTGTCAGAATTACCAGCTATCAGAGTCACCACAAAAACAGTCTGGTCCTTCCTAACAGAAAATAAAATGTGTCTTGACAATTAAAAAAAACCCATTTTTCCTAGGGCAGAGATGCTTTAATCTCTGACTGTTACCCTCTCTGATTTTTTTCCCCTTTCTTCTAACCAGCTGTTTTAGGAAAACCTTTGTTGGTTGGTTGGTTTTGTTCGGTTTTTTTAAATTAATGATTCAAACCCCCCCCTTTTTTTTTCTCCTAGAGAAGTGGTTTTTTTACATTACCTCAGATGTCCTGCCCTGAGGAATTTGTAAAATATTGAACAATTTACAGCGTTTAGGCAGCTTTCGTGCCAAAGCGGGGCTTGTTCAAAAACCAAGGTTATTTTCCTTCTCAGCCTTCCCATCATTAGGAAAAAATAATCTGAAAGTGGAATGGTTGGCTTGTTCTGGAAGGGACCTAAAGGACAAAGTAGCATTTATGCAGTGTGGACTTGTGCTTGGTCTGAACAGAGTGATAAATGTGAGCACATGATGATATTTAATCCAAAAGCAATGCAGACTTTGTATACTTTAAATTCTTAACAGTAAACCCCTAAACATTTCCGAAATGCTAATGGAATACCTGATTAGGTGTTTTATAAAGTTGAAGACTGTGAAAAAAATAATTGGCTGAAACTCCAGTCTTGATGGATCGATAACTTTAATTTCTTTACCTCAGATGGTGATTTTTGTGTATTGCCAGAAAATTCTGCTGAATTTTCACATTCTTCTCCCTTTTCCCACATCCACAAAATCTACCTTTAATTTTTCATCCTCAAATCAGGCTATTTTGGATTTGCCACCAGGTGTGACTCCATTCTTTCCAGAACACCAAAGCTCAAGAAAAGGGTCCTGGATGATTGATTCCAGTGCAGGTCCACTGCTGGTTTAAGCACATGCCCTGCTTCATGCCATGACAGAGAAGCCATCCCTAGGATTTTTAGAAAATATATTGCATATAATGCAAAATGGAGATTTTTTTGGTTTTTTTACAGTGTTTTATATTTTGACAATAGTAAATTGAATTCCTTGAAACAAAACAAATCAGATGACACGTATTTCAAGTTTAGAAACTTTTTGTTGGATCTCTCCCCACCTCTGCCTTATCCTACTGTTCATTCAGTATTAGTCAGCACTGGATGCCAAAGGATGTCTCATTTTAATCTTTAAATATTTCTTTGCTGTGTTTAATACTTTGTTCTTCACATCTGATTTTGGTCTATCTGATTGCACTACTGTATGTGCCCAGAAAACCCAAAGACTTCACTTTTCCTCTGCATTTCCTAAACAACAGCAACATCCTTGTTCAGATCTCAAACTGCCTGCACAGGCTTTCCATGTATCCACTGGCCAGGAAGTGGATGTTAGGGGAAAACATTTGGAAAAAAGCTTTTCAGGTGAATAAACACCAAAGAGTTTTACATTCTTATGCTAGTGACAGGCCCTTTTAAGATCACCTTTCCTTTGCCTTCTCATTTCTCCTTTGACTGGAACCCATCAGCTCACTGTATCACAGGAACTGCACAGGAATTACATTTTCATTTGTGAAAATGTAAAGGTTACCCTAGTGAGACTTTCTGTTTTTCTTACATGTTGTTCTTAAGCACTGTTGTTTGCAATGCCTTGTAAATCCACCTGACAGCCTGTTCCTGTCTGTTAGAGCTCCAGTGCTCACTGTCCACACTTACCTGTCTTGCAGCTACTCACTGTTATCAGTCTGGCTGTCTTTTTGTCACTTTTTTATCTTTCAGTCTGCTGGAGAGTCTGCTGCCTGATAGATGTCAAATTGAAGTGACAAAGGGATGCAGCTGAGAGACAGAAGTGAGCTGTCATTAGGGCTTCCAGCTCTTTTATACCAAATATACAAACTTGTAAAATGTTTTGGAGAAATCTGCTCAAAGAAGGAGCAGAGATGAAAGATTCTCTCTGGTTTTCAGCCTCTTGCACTGTGACTAAAACGTCTGCACCATTTCTTCCAGTGTGCCCAGTGAGGAAATGAGGAAGCCTCAGGATATTTCCCTTCAGCCCAGAGAGGAGGGAAAGTGTAGTTCCTCCTCCATACATTTGGATGAAGAACCTAGAGAGAAGATCAGACAGGTCATGGATGTGAAAAGTGGATTTTAGGGGCAGAACTGACACCAGGCTGAATGCAGAAGGGATTTTTGGGCATGGTGTTAAGCAAGGAATCTGGAATGATGCAATTAGAAACTACAAGAGTAATTTCAGGCATATAAACATGAGTTAAGCATAAAGGCAATGGCAGTGAGGAGTTCATCTGGATAATAAGCTCCTGGGTACATATATAATCCATGCTGCAGTTTTAAAATCATTTTGACTAATCACCTCAGTTGCAGGTAAAATGTGCTTGAAGAGTTTTTCCACCCAAACATTGCAGTATGCTACTGAAACATCTTGGATAGGTCATATATTCTCCCTTGTCCTTGTCTTAGCTACTCATTTTTTTAAGTGTTTTCTTTAAGTGTCCAAATGAATTTATTGAGCAGACAGGTAGAGAGATTGAGACACAGTTCCAGACTAAGCAGTCAGCCCAGTTAGAGGGGTGCTCAGCTCCCTTAGCTCTGCTCATGGTTTATGATAAAGTTGAGGTGTCCTGGACAGTGCAGAGACAACAAAATACTGATTTTAGTTATAGAAATGCTGGCCATGTTGTCCAACAAATGAGATTCTGGAAAAAATGCTGTGTACTTCTGTGATTAAATGCAGCACTCTCATATGTACACACAAAGGGATGAAATGAGGTTGCAGGAACTTGCTTGACTTTGCAACCTGCCATAGTTGTTTTTTAAACTGAGTTTTTCTGTCTTGCATAATCAATAAGTTCTGAGGAGAAACACAGGGTCATAGAATATACACAGGAAAAATAGGGAAGGAAAACCAAGAAGTGACAAAAAATATTCAAGAATATGCACAACAGAAACAATTAAAGCTCTAAGTATTTAACTTGAACTTTACCTTAAGAGAAGGCTGGAGAAATGAGAAAAGAGCAGAGGTTGAGAAACACATAGAATTTAATTTAGAATGGCAAAATGCTTTAAAAATTTTAGGTATTGTGAGTCCCTGATTACCATCTTCCCACTGCCTAAATAGTTTTTTTGTGGAACCTTTTACCTGTATGTCAGTAGTCAGTGTATGTGCATACCATGTGTTTATGTGGGTGTTGTTCACTGCACTGTGCCTTTATGGATTTTATTGTGGGATCACTTCCAGCAAAAATAAGTATTTCCATCATTTTGCCTTACCTACTTCTCTGTCAGTTTTTAACAAATCCACATTTTCCAATTACACTTGTCTGTCATTTGACATTTTTATCTGACAGGTAAATTAAGGTCATCTGGAAGTTTCAGGCTTGAAAGCTCCTTGTAGTGATTTAACTACATGAAAAAAAAAAGTCCTAATGTATTCGACTCTGGCCTCTAAAATACAAACAAGAGAAACAGAATTATCATTTTTCAAGTAGGTACAATCTCAGCTAAAAATCGTATTGCTTACAGGCAGAGAGAACTTGAGTCAGTTTCGAAATTCTCCCCTTTATTAATGTGACTGCAGGTGCTCCTTTGGACCATGAATTTCCTACAGACCAGTCCCTACATTTATATCAAGAAATTCCTGGCTTGTTGGCTTTGGCAGTGAATGTCTGTTGAAGAAAATCACAGCTAATTCATCTGAGCTCGTGGTTTGTTTTCCTCCTGCCAAATTCACTATTTTTGCACATATTTTTTTCCTATTGAAGACAAAAGGAGAGCTGCAGTTTGTCCTCTCCTTTCCACTGCAGAGATGGGCAAGAAAGACTCCTCTGAAACCTTCTCCATGTACAGCTTCAAGCTATGCCTGACTTTAATAATCTTTGTCACATTTAGCACAACTCCCATTAGTCTGAAAATGGTATTCAGCACTTGCATTGTTACTTGTGTGGCATGACATTTGTTATGTTGTATTTTTCCAGCTAAACGTGAGCCTGTGGAAGGTAACACAGAGCTGGAATCCACTCCCATAACATCACTAGATATCATTTAACTGTTCAGTCAATATTTGCTCCATCATTTATTGGAAGATGTGTATATTTAACTTATCTGACCATGGCTACTGAATGCTTTGTAATTTACTGCCTGTGCATGCTTCCATCAAATTATTTGGACAGAAACCTAATGGCAGAAATCTAAAAAACTGGTTTTGCTGAAAATTTGACATCAGCTACTATTGTTTTTATTTCCTTTGCTACTCTTACAAAACCAGTTTACACCAAGAGTTTTTAAGCCACAGATAAATATTGTTCAGAAGCCAAATGCTTTTCTAGGAAACAGCATTTTACAAGGCTTTGTGTGCATTGCATTGAAATTCATCAGCTGCAAAGTGAGAGAATATTGCCTGCTGAGCTTTCTAGAAAGCAGTCTAGGTGATTTCCCTGAGCTTTAATCACCTGATGCCTAAAGAAAGCTGAAGATTTTGCTTATTGAACAGTTTGCAAGTTTACCAAATCAAAGTTGCTTCCCTGATGTAAAAATTATTTCCTTTTCTGTATTTACTCCTGTTTTCAGAAGTCATTGAATAGAATTATTTATTCTTCTTTTAAAACAATGTTTTATTTCCCATGGAAATAGTAAGAATTGGGTAAATGTCATGTGGTGTAAATGTTCAAGTGTAACAGAGTTTAACAAATAAAACTTTGGAGTCACAAGACAGGAGATAGAGAAAAAAAAAATGAGCCTAATTCTTTTTCTGCTCATGTAGTATTTGGACAGTGACGACCACCTGCACTTTAAGTAGGTAAATTCTTAATGTAAAGTTTTAATATTATACATAATAAATTAACAAAATTAGGAAGTGTCCAGTGACTGAATAATTTCAGGTCATCTTTTTTAACTCCTAAACATCCTACAAAAAGCAGAGAGAAAAGCAAGAGGCATAAGAATTTATTTTTGGTCAACTACAGAGTTGCTAATCATAGTATGATAAAGCATGTTATGATAAACTTGTGTATTTTGTGACAATGAAACTGAGCACCAGACATGCTGAACAGTGTGTGAAGCTACACATTAGGTGTGGGGTTTTTGCTTTGCTTCCTCCTGAACCCAGTTTAGCATCTTCACATACCCAGCACTGCTGCTGACTTCACTGGGACAAGGGGGATGGAAAGAACTTCTGAATTAGGTGCAGGATTAAGATAAAGCTAAGGAAGAAAATACAGTTTTGTGTCCAAAATCCTGTCATATTCAAACTTCAGAAAATTGCAAATGTCTGATAGTAACAAATCCTTCTTTTATAAACGTGCAAACATCTTCTCACCTCCATCCTAGCTGGGACATGGATTTTAGTTTCTCACTTCACAGACACATTTGCATCCAATGCCCTTGCTAAGCACTGAGGAAAACATTAGAAACAAATTGCAACATTTGGCCATTGAAATTATTTCGGCCATTCTGCAGAATCCCTGGGTGATGGATGGAGCATCAACCTCTTTTTTATTGTGCTTGTCTTTCAGCTTCTGATATGGCTGCAGAGCAGGGACAGATTCTTGTAATTGCCACTGCTGCTGTTGGTGGATTCACTCTCCTGGTCATCCTCACTTTGTTCTTCCTCATCACTGGCAGGTAATTAAAACACTGTTCTCATATAGTCCCTTCTAAAATTAAGAATTTCAGAATAATATTTAAGTCATTAAACCACATTTTCAGTCTAAAATTAGGGTTAGACATCGTGAAACATCATCTTTGTTCAGTACTGGTCACACAGTTTTTTTGTAAGTATTTTTCATAAAGACGCAGTTTGGAGAGATAAGAAATTATGTGAAATCAGGAAGTAGTTTGGATATTTTAGAAATACGTTTCTGGACCTCTTTCCTGCAGGGTGATAATTTAAAAATACAGGATACCTGCTGCACCCTCAAGGCTCTGACATTCCAAGGAACACGGTGTATTTTACAAAATCTCCCAACTGTCAGTTGCAAAACTTTAGTGAGTGCACTACTCAGATATCAACAGAGGGTGCTGCACTTTTAGATTTGTAATTACACATCTGTTTTGTTGGTATAGCAGTACAGAAAGTGAAGTTCTATCAATGCAGGCCAGAGGATTTATTTGCAATACCCCAGCAACTAAATATGGCACTGCAGTAGCTGCCATTATGGGAATTAATGCTCTCTCTGCTAAATAATAAAGCCAGTTAAATCTAATGTTCTGGTGAAGGTAATAAGAGCAGTTAACCTTGGAACATATTGTGGCCTTAGATAATCTTAGAGGCTGAGTAAATATTCCTGCAATTACTACAGGTGACAAACAGTAGGATCTTTCAGAAGAGAGAGGAATTATTTAGACAGAGAAAAATTTCCAGAGAAAATGATTGTGTGGAACCCGTATGTGAAATCCTGAAGCATAACTCAAACAGTTCCTTTGGAAAAATTCACTACACTCAGGAGTGAAAAAAAAATATGGAAATGGGTTTTTTTCTGTATTTCTTCCTCCTGTTTTCTAATGTTAAGAATATCAGAGGTTCTCCTGCTTTCTAAAGCCTTACTCAATGGGACCATTTCAATTATGTAAGATAGGAATTCATTCTGAAGTGCTGCTTAAATGCAGTGATAAGAGCATGTTCCACAGAAGACAGAGCAAGAAAATTTTGAATAAATACTCAATTTACTCTAGGACTGGAGGCGAATTTCAGCATGAAAAATGGGACTGGTACCCTACAGATGTGCTCTGCTTCACTGTTTAGAATGAACAATTTGATGAGCTGTCGAGTCTCGGGGCTGCTGATGAGCCTATTCAGAGTGGAGAGGCTGGGTTAAATGAGCACCTGCCTCTGCACTTTGCTGGGTGATTATCCACCAGGAGCAAGCAGGAAGCATGGCTGTCACTTGCAGATAGGAATATGAAAGCAACAGAGACTCCAAGACACAGGACTGGGGTCTTGGCTCAGTTTCAGGAAATGGGATGTTAAAGCTCAGCCTGATCTAGTCTTACCTCCAATTGTCCTGCCAACATGAGCAGAAAATGAGACTCCTCTGCTGGTGATTAATCACTGACTTCTGTAGTCAAAATCTGGGGCCACGTGGATGTTTAGGAAGGTTGGGTAAGGTTAAAGTCTTGTTCTTTTGACTGTTCCCTTGGGCAAGCTCTTGGAGTGTAAGAACGTGTGTTTAGGGCTCTGGACAGGTGGCACCCTACAGACCACTTGTTCATGTCCTAAAAATGGTACTGGCATCCTTAGGGAGTCCCAGCAACTGGTGTTCAGTCTCAAAGTTTCCACAGAGTCTGACAATCCACTGGTTTGCATTCTCTCCACACTCAGCTTCAGGAGTTTCTGCCCTTAATTTCCTCATCATCACCTGTGTAGCAGTAAACGATCTTGTGACTGTTGCTACTGTGTTTCAGCAATTTAAACAAACCATTGAAACGAGCTGTTCACCTGTTCCTCATAGATCTCCACTGTTAGTATGGATATACTGACTGTAATTATTTTTATTTATTTTTATTTATTTTTATAATGCTGTCAATGTTCACACAGAGGACAGTCGTTTTTTTTCAATCTGGTCTTGGACCTGCATGTCTGTACTCCAGAGCACACGTCCACAGGCACTGCTGTTCTCCACAGCCATCAGAGCCTCAACAACCCTTTGCTATCCCTTAAACCAGAAGATTTCACTCTAAAGAGTAGTTTTTAGGCTGCTGAGGGAGTGAGAAAGAGCTTTAACACCAAGAGCAAATATTTTTTTTCTTGACTGAAGGAGTTGGTCCTGCCATGTGACCCCCCTAAATCAGCATTATCAGACCTGCAGGTAGGCAGTGTTCAGCAGCTCAGACTGCACAGAGCCACGCAGCAAAAGAGAAAAAAGGGGTCCTGATGTGAAAAAATCTTTTACTTTTTCATGAAACATGGTGAAGTCATTATAATTCTATTCTGAAGAACAAGAGAGGGTATTTTACCCACTGTATAGGAAAGTTAATGGGATAAGGTTTAATTACCACAGGCCTATGTATGCAAACAGGAATGCAGGAAAGTAAAAATTTATTGAGGTATCAGAATTCTTTGGAGTCAAAAAAAAGTAATACATCAAACTTAAACTCAGGTAGTCATTGTCATGCTAAAACATTTAACCATGATCTATTTTTCTTTATATATAATCTATTTGTAGTTCATCATGCATATTTCCCTCTTTAGATTCATAAGTAAATATATATTCCAAATGTAAAGATTTTGGCTTTCATAAGATTGCAGATAAAACTTGGTGTACATCCGTTTTATTCATGGCAAGTATTTTATTTAAAACCTCACTTGTTTTTCTTGAAAGATGCCAGTGGTACATAAAGGCCAAAATGAAATCTGAGGAGAAAAGAAGGGCTCATTTGCAAAATGGACACTGTAAGTAGTTCAACACTATATAATTATCATGTTTTAAATGAAAAAAATCCACTGTTTCCTGAACAGCTTTTGCCCTTGATGTTTTAATCTGGTTATTTGAGTAGTTCCTTATTGTCTGCATCAAGAGTCTTTCTTTTTGTTTGTATTTTCACTACATCTATTCTAGTTATAAAAGGGTTTTTTGGTATTCAACTAATAATATTTAGCAGCTTTTCAGGTATGTTTCTTTGAATTCTCAGTTGTTCTGAGTACTGAATTTCTGCCTCAAAATTCTTCTCTTGGTGACTGTATGACTTACTTGTATCTAGTTCTCTTTGGATTTAGGGATCTACACTTCCAGCCACCCAAGAAATAAGAACTGGAATGGGTTGTCTTGTCTCATGTTCCTGGTCACTGATCCATACAGTGAGAAAATCCTGGTGATCTCTCATGGGCAGTAATTAGTTTATATAGTTTAGTTTAGCTACCTGCTTTAAATTAGTTGCCTGTTTTCTGTTAGAGTAGCAATTTTAATCTATTTTTTTTTTAATTCAAAAGGTATTACACAGAGTATCAGATTTTATTCTTTCATCATTTTGATAACATCTCTGGAAATGCTATTATGAACACAGAAGTTACCAGAAGTCAAATATTTTTTTCAGATGACACCACTATATTGAGTCAAGTGTCTCTTTCTGTCAAGGAGAAAGGCACATTTGCCCATAAGTATATTGCCTAGAAAGATGTTTTTGTCATTTGTTTCCAAACATGGCCAGAAATAAAAGAAGATAAAAACCCTCCTCCTGGAGAGTTTGATATATGCCTCTGAGACCGTGACTGAGTTTGTAAAAATCCTCACTCGTTGTGTCTCAGGCCAGGTAAATGATGACTGTATTTCATGTTGACACAAAGCTTCATCTCAGAGCCTTGCCATTCATTTGTAGTGATCTCAGCATCACACTGGAGGGGGAAAGTCTCTACTCGTATATGTGCTCCGCAGAACCAAGAATAAAGAGGAATTACTGTTTTAGACTCAGCTATTAACTGACAGGAGAAAGAAGGCTGAGAAATGCTTCATTCTTTTTAAAGGGATTCTCTGGACACAACAGCAGATGCCTCTTTTTATCCTGATAAATTAATGGATTATTAGCATCAGCTTCTGATAATGGATTGAAAGTTTTCCAGAACTTAATCATGATATGGCAGCAGCCTAAAAGAATTCCCATGCAGATAGTCCAGAAGAAACAACACACGTTCTTGAACATGCTATACTCAGGAACACAAGGGATATCAGCCATGCCAGAAAATCACAGCTTGTTGGAGCCTGCCAAAGCAATCTGGCACCATCCCACTACTGCCGTGGCCATCTCCAAGGAAACAGACAGAAATTATCTTGAAAATGGCTTTGGATATTTTTGTTGTCATCTTGCACCTGGCTCTCTGGCTGCTCCAGCTGATCAGAAGAGAACAAAGCAGCACAGCCCTCCAGGACTCATCCTTAGAGAAAAGGAACTCGGAGAATTGACCTGTTTGGCAAAACAGGATGTTCAGCCATCCACTCCTAAATGAAAGGAATGAACTAGAAACAACTGTTTTCAAAGTAAAGGACAGATTGCCTCAATTCCCAAGGAGCAGCAAAGGGGAAGATAAACTGCTTTGGCAATAATCACTGTTGTTTTGAGGCTGTACTTTTCATTATCATTAAGCCCTCACTTGGTGTCTCTGCAGACCCTTTTTCAAGTGACCAGCTCTTCTGTTGGGTTCTGAAATTTTAAACCTGGAAGATGTAATATATTATTTTCTGTCCTTTCAATTGTCTAGCCAAAAAAAAAAGAAAAAAAAAAAAAAGAAAACTAATGCTGCAATGTGTGAATGGCAAGGAGTTCCTGATTCCTATTATTCTCTCTTTCTTGCAGTACATTTCCCAGGACTCAAAACCTACATAGATCCAGACACATATGAAGACCCATCTCTTGCTGTCCATGAGTTTGCCAAGGAGATTGATCCTTCAAGAATTCGTATTGAAAAAGTCATTGGGGCAGGTAAAACTATACCTACTGTAAAAAAATCTCCAGGCACGGCAATACTGCTTTTCATAAGCATTAGGAAATTAATTCATTATCAGTTTTTTTGCATAGGATTGATTTTTTGCCTGGCTTATTGTTTTTTTTATTATTATTATTTTCTTTTGGGTTTTTTTTTCCAGATGTATTCAAAACACTGTGTCACTCAGCATGTGCCATAGTTACTGTCTTGTATTCTCAGTCACTGAGGGTGAAATTAGATCAGAATTTCTTTCTATGGGGATACAAGTTCTGAATATAGAAGACTGAGAAAAAAATTATTCTCAAATTGAAAACTGGAGGATTATGAGGGAGGAAGAGGAGAGGCTTGGGATAGGCTTTTCTGTCTGGAGAAGGATCACTGGCAGAGAGGGGAAAGAGGAAAATGTGTTGATAAGATGTAGACAGTATGAAAGAAGATGTCCTGTAATCCTTCTTTTTTATATTTGTTTCATATGTCTTAGTCACTCTAGAAAGGAAGGGCATTTTTCAGCTTAAACCCCTCATTTAATATGTTACTACACTGATACCCATAGAAATATCCCCAGTGTTGCTAAGAAGTGTTTTATGCACTAGAAAATGTTGTGCAATAATCCTACAGAAATAAAACCAGGTCTGGTAGCAGCCAGGAGAGAGAAAGTATCGAGCTGAAAGTAAAAGAGGAAATTCTGTTTCACATTGCAGTCCATAGTGGTGGAGTGCTCCAGTTTACCCAACTGCTCAGGCCACATCATCTGGAGCTGGAGCTGTGCACCTCTGGAATGACGAGCTTGGGAGAGTCCCCAGAGGGCTGATCTCTGCAGAAAACATTCAGTTTGCTTTCTTCTGTTTCTTCCTTTTCTTCAGACACACTTTAGATATTGATGTCTTAGATTATAAAGCAGATTGAGCTGCATTCCACATCTGTGGAACTACTGATTTCAATTGAATACAAGAGACAAGGATTTTTTGTTTTAGTTCAGAGTAAAGTTGTGTCCTTCATCTCAGCTTAATTCATTTATGAAAACTCTTCTCTCAGCTTCTCTCTCCATTTTCTTGTGTTCAAGGAAATGTATGCTTTGACATATTTTACTTTTATAGGTTTTATTCTTATGGTTTTTATTTTCTAAAATTACATGGGTAATTTGTCAACTTAAAAAATACTCACCAAACAGGACTTGCAAATGAAATTTAAACCCATTTCCATGCATACAAGATACAGGTTAAATACCAAGGCTGAGGCAGGGAGAGTACAAATTCCCACACAGTTCTTCAGTAGCTGCTCAGGGACATAACATATCATTCTCAGCAGTCCTAAAAACTTCTGTGCATTCTCTCTAATTCTGTGTTACACGTTTCAATCGGATATAAAATGGATATCTTGTCACAAGAGAATTACTTTAAAAAGAGGTTTACAATTTTCACCTAAATGAAACCAAAAATCAACATCTTCTCTAAAATGAAGCATTATTATTAATGCTATTAATATTAATGAAATTAATATCTTTTAACAAGTCAATGAATAGATGCACTTCTAAATTTGTTCTTTTTTAACATTTTATTTTGGCCAATAATTATAATTTTTAATTTATGCAACTTTAATTTTTCAAACAAAAATTATTTCCGTTCAAGAACCAAAAAATTTCATTTTGAAACTGCCAAAGCAGAAAATCATAAATAATGGAAAAAAAATTTTCTAGCATTTCTGGTCATGACATTTTTAAAACTGTTCTCCTGAAAGCAGTTTCCAGTTTGTTTTTTCGATGGAAAAAGTCATGTCCAAAAGTTCTTGATAATTCACTACTTGCCATTCCAATGGCTGTGACACTCAAGGTGAGTATTTTTAGTTAGTTTCTTTTTTCAGCTCAACTCTAACCTAACTCTGTACCCAAGCTATACTTTAAAGTATTTGGTAATTATATCTCACCCATACACTTTTTTCTGCCCCATCTCTTCTTGCTGTTTGGTTTAAGGGTTCAACACCTCTTCAAGGAATGAATTCCCAGAGGTACTTTGTCAAGTCTTAAAATGTACAACTGTCATCCTATATTCTTTGTTAAAATGTTGAAACCCAAGGAAGAGACCAACTCTTCAGTTTTTCCCAGAGCAGACAATATTCTTTGCATGATGTAAATCTCCTGCTGGTTCTCCCACAAGTGTAAAGACTGAATTGGGGAAGTGAGTTGAGCTGCATTTGGTGCTGTGACCTTTCAGTTCTATCAGCAGCCACTGTCTGTGCTGTAAGACATTTGTTCTGATCCCATGCAGCAATACCAGGCTGCACATCAGACTTTTAAGTGACTGGCTTCTCCTGTTTCACTTTCAATATCACATACACGCTGCTGAATGCAGAAAGGGACATGTGGTTTGCACAGATTAAATTTCTAGAGTGCTCCATTAGCTCCTTTTCATATAATATACAGTAAGATGGATGAGGTTTATGTCATTAAAGCAGAGATTATTTACATTTTATTAAAACTGAACAGGCAGTGGACTCTATCTTTTTCTCTAGTTGTGATCAGCCTTTTCCCTGGAGCAAGGAAAAATGTTGACTTCATTGACATCTGGCTCTTAGCTTCAGCTTATTACACATGCAGTCATGAACCTCAGCTGCTGCAGGGTCAACATTTATCCTGTTTATCTTCAAACTTGAGCAGTGAGAATGGGATTCTTAGATTTTAAAAACCCCTTTGGTTGAACCTATTCCCCTCTGACTTTAAAGACATTGAAAATTCTTTATCTGAACAGAAGTGTAGGAAAGCTACTCTGGGATGAAATATCTTGTCAAACTCTCAGTGTAAATAATTCAATGCTTTAAGTTATACCATTGACCTCCATCTAGTCTAAAAGAGAAGCAGAAGTTATTACACACCTTCAGCTACTAAATGTAGGAACTGTCTGCTCTGTAAGCTGATGATCTCAACTTTGACATCATGCCACAGAAAACCTGCTGGTAGTCTTTATGTTCACCAGTTTATCAATCCCAATACCCAAGGGGAGGGAAATGTCTTTCTAACTTTCCAAATCATGCATCCAAAAAAAGGTGAAAGAAGCAGGGGTTCCTTCCCCTGCTTTGGATGTTGTACACATAATAAATCTTGGAATTGCAAGTACAGTTTAATTCATTTTAAAGCCATTGGTAACGGCCTTTTACATTCCCTGAGGGATGAATGCAATTATTTATGAAATTCTGAAGCTGTAGTATTCTTGTATAATCTTGTAGTAGCAAAATGGTTTATTCTATAACCTGTCCTTTCCAAATTAATCTTAAAATGAGATTTTGTAATTCTGCAGCTTTATTGACCGCAAAATTTCTCTAAAAATCAGGATATTAAGGGTCTAGTGCTTTTCACTGCTTCATCAAGAGAAAGAAACTGGAAATTTCCTCATTTTAGGCATTTAACCTTGAAAAACCAGGAAGATGTAATATGGTCATGGCTTTAGAGAAGTGTTCTGGTCCTGCTGAACGTGTCACAGAATAGAAGATTGATAGACCATGACTCCTGCAAAATATTCAGGTTTCATGACTTTCTTTTATGGGAGGACTTTACAAGTCCAAATTATCTGCTGCTTTTTCAGTGCAAGTAGTCAGGCAAGCAAACTTAAGGAGAGCCTTCTGAAGGAGAAAGGGGCAAAATCATATAGGAAAACACTCACACAACTTCTCCTTTTGTCAAAAGATCTCAGAGCATTACTCTAATGACATATTTTCACATATCCTATATTTGCACACATCTTTATTTTTTTTAATTAAGTAGAAATAAATTGGTGGGAGGAACTGTATAAAGAAGACCTGGGACCACTTGACTTTTTTTTAGCTGTTTAGGAAGCTGCTAATTTATTCAGAGGTTATGTTCAGCATGTGTTAATTGTACTCTTGCACTTGATGATGCCTCTGTCATTGAAGTGAAAGACAAGCTATGAAATTGTTCTTTTAATCTCACTCTTCCTGGATCTCATTGACTAATAAAACATAGCTTTGTTTTAGTGGAAGCAGCAGAACCTAATGAAAGAAAAGTCTTGCTACAATATTCATTCTAATCCTGTAACATGAGGGAGTTCCAATTTTCTGAAATGAAGGTGGTGCTCTTCTAGATTTGCTTCATATCTGAGGATGCACTGTTACAGAATTGAGTTCCTTTGTTTTGTTTACTTTTGTCCTTAAAGTTTAGGGAAAGCTAATACAGACAGCACTCAGTGGAGTGTTAAATCACCAGTTAAATATATATCTGTTCATAACTTGCTTTTTGGTTTTTAGCAGTTCTGATTCCAGAATGACTGGGGTAAAAAATTTAGATTTGCTGTGAAAGCAACCTGCACTGAGAAATGCTTTGAAATATTTCTGTGAACATTGTTTTTCTTTTACTAAATTATGACCCATTGAAAACTGACCTGCAGTCATCCAAGAGTATGTTTGGCAGGGGCTCTAAATAATTTCTGGGCGACTTCAAGATCAAAGGAAAGTTGTGATTTCCATACAGAATGAATTAGTAAATGTGTAAGGAGATTGCAGGGAGACACACATCCTTCACAGGCCCTACATACACAGGGAAACATCAGAGAAAAATGTTGAGATTCCTCTCACTGCACAAGTCCAGATTTTCTGGGACTGTTGGACTTTGGCTGTCTGAACAAGGAAACACCTAATTAATTTTCAAGTAGGTGTGGAAGTCCATTTAAATAAATCACGTGCAAGTGCTTTTCTAGGTCATAACAGCATAAAGTACTTTTAAAATACTTTCTGTAGCTGAAGGATAGTCAAGTGTTCTGATAGTCTCAGGGCTTTTTCTTAACATATAGGTCTTAGTGCATTTCACCCATGGAGGTAAATATTTCTATCAATAGATATTTTACATAAATATTTTGTTATCAGTGGAATAAAAATCCAAGTGTCATACATTCCTTCCTCAGTTATATATCCCAAATATATTGATACCAATGTTCAGCCTCAAAGGAAAGCAGATGAGCCACAGTGGGGAGGGCTGAAGGTTTGGCTTTTGCAGGCACAGTACCAGGTCTCATGATCTCTGCTGTGGCACAAGGGAAAGGTGATAATTTCTTGTGAAGTACTGCTGGATATTTTGATTTTCTGGGATGTGATGACACTCATAAATTTGAATATTCAATCAGTTGTTTCTCTGTCCACTTCTATGGGATGTGTGAGTTCTTGGATATTTTTCTGCACAGGCACTGTGAGTTACTGAACAGATATTTTATTTATTTAAGGGGAGTTTGGAGAAGTATGCAGTGGGCGTCTGAAGACACCAGGAAAAAGAGAGATCCCTGTTGCCATAAAAACTCTAAAGGGTGGCTACATGGACAGGCAGAGGAGAGATTTCCTGAGGGAGGCGAGTATCATGGGACAGTTTGATCACCCAAATATCATTCGCCTTGAAGGAGTTGTTACAAAAAGTAAGTCACTAATACCTTTCCTTAATAGTTCTATGCTGGCTTTCCCATTCTGTATCATTTAGGGTTGAAATTAAGCATTATTTCCTCCATCAGTATGGCTTACAGTTCTCAGAAATCTTCCAAATGATTGACAGTTAATACTGAAAATTTGGGACCATAATAGGAAATGCATAGCCTCTCTGTTTTTAATTTGAAATGTTTCACTTTTATTTTTTAATAACAATTACCTTCATTCAAGAGAAGTATTTACAGGTGCTTGTGAAATATAATGGAGAGTTTGCCTGTGGGCAAGTGGAGAAAACCGTAAATGTAACTGAGCTGACAGTGAAACTATCTTGTAAAATGTCTTATTTTTGCAAAAGTGCTCATTATTTATTTGATTGAGATCCACTGATTTTGGTAGCAGAAGAGATGAATTTCCTATTTTGAAGAAATAAAAAGTAAACTCTTTGTAGCTTGTTCTATACTGCAAATGATTGACTAAAACTCCAGAATAATCTTTGAAATGTTTTACTCCTTACAACTGTTGCAGCTGCCAAGAGAGATCCCTTGCCTCTGAAATCCAGCAGGTTTAGTGGTGTTATGGACTTTTCTGAAAGGCTGAAATATCTCGTTATCACTTAACTATTAGGAAGTCTAATTAACATGCATGTAATTTCCTCAGTGACAGCTTTTTTCAGTAATGAATTAAAAAGTTTATGGTATAGTCTTTTCAAAATTAATCATTGTCTCATCTAAGCCATGTTTGCTAATTTGCAGAACTTACATTTTTCTTTTCAAGGGAAGTGTTGTGTGTATAATGCAGTGTCCTCTTACCATCACAGTAAACACAATAAATATGTTATTAATATTTCCTGTTTTCAGCTCATTAAAACATCCAAAGCTAAGTTCGGCTGGACAGCACTGGAGATCTCGTTCAGAGATATAAATATGTAGGAACTTAAAGCTCCTTGCTTAACACTGAGCATTTCAGCAAATCAAATTCCACCAGGGGTGGTTTATGAATCAGTGTCACAGGTCTGATTAGGATCCACATGGTGGATCTTGTAGGGTGTGTCTCTTCTGAAAAAGGCAAAACGTTGTGGTTTAGGAGCATTGTTTAAATCCAATTAAATGGTGCATAGGGAGTACAGTATAATAATGTATAATTAATGTTTAATCTTTACCACATTTGTAAGTCCTTTCTGTAATGCCTCTTCATCAGTCTAGAGAGAAATCAAGGTGGCATTCAGAAAAGAGAAATAAACAGATAAATCAGTGCTCCAATATTACAGTATTTGTTGGTATTCTACAGGAAAGAATATAGAGAACTATAAGCCAAAAAGTCATCATTAGCAGTTTTGCTTTTCACCAAGGAGTCAACAAATTTCATTAATGTTTTATAATGTTTGTTTGAAGGTAATATAAGAATAGTGGGTGTTACTGTTATAGTCAGTCACACTGTTGTCTAAAAATATGCCTCTCTCCGATATAAAATGGGTAGTGGAACTTTGAAAGAAAATATTTTGCTGTCAGGCAGGATTAAAAACAATTATACAGCCATGATTATAGAATGAAAAGAGGCTACATGAATTATGAGCAAAGTTCACCCCCAGGCACAGAAAGTGCAAGCCCCATAAATTGTAAGGACAGGGCTGTGCAGCACTGCTGTGCTACAGGGAAGGAGCCTGAAGGCAGGCTGAGCCATGGACACATGCACTCTGCTCTTCCCATTTTGTCTTTAGGGTGTTGCTTTGCATTTATACTGCCCCATATGGGGTATTTAGAGAATAACATGACTTCAGCTTGGAGGAGAGCAGTCGCCTTGCCAAAGTACTAAATCTAGGATTGCAGAATCCAAATTTCGTATAACTGAAAGGCATGCTCTAAAAGTCAGACAAAACTTTGCCCTAGCCAAATTATTTGTGTATTGATAACATGAATAAAAGGTGGTTTGTGCTAAAACTTTGATTAATAACAGCAGAAACTCTTTATCTGATGTGCCTTACAGTTCCACTAAGCTATAAAGGCACATCATCTGCAGTAAATTTGATTAATAGATGTGTACTGCTGTTCTTAGCACATGCTTTCCTCTGTGTAACCATTAGTCATTAACTTCTAGCTGTTGCTGATAGATATTGCATCAGTTTGTAAGCAGTGCCTTCCATTACAGTGTCATTGACTATTGAACAAAAAAGAAAAAGGATTTGGTTGTAATAAGCAGAAGTGCTGTACCAGGTCAATAGCTATTGACTGGGGCAATAACAAATTTGCCTGCTCACTGCAAATGAGAGCTTTTATCTGGTGCTACCAGCTAAGCAAATGTTAACTTTCAAATTATACTGTTTTCAAAATTGCTGTGGAATATGTACTGTACAGGAGGAAAGAAATGCTAAACTAAGCCTGCTCAAAAGCAGGTCTGAAACAGTTTGAATTCCCTTTTCTTATTGCTTCATTTCTCATTTGTCCTAGCTGCAGTCCCTAATCACAGAGAGCAGTAGGCAGAACAGTTGCTGTGGCACAAGCTTGCTGTTAGCAGGGAGTTCATTTCAAGGGCAATTTGCTGGGCCAAGGCAAACACACCGTGGCTCAGAACCTGGATCCACTCATTGCTAACCAGAACTCACAAGGGAAACTTTATTCCTGTTTGGTTTTGTTATAGCAACACCATTCCTTGCATGGTTTGCTGTAAAAGACTGCTTGATTGCCTCACAGATTTATCTTAGGTGCTTGGGTGCTTCATAAAAGCATCCATGTTTCCTTTCAAGCCATGTTAGTACAGTGATAATTTTGGGAACTCTTTTGGGTGTGCCAGAGCATGCTCAGGTGAGTTTTAGGTCTGTGGCCAAGCTGCTGCTATTTCATAAAAAGGTATAAGAACAATAACTTCATTCTCCAGTGTGACCAACACTGAAAGCTGGGCTCTAGAGAAATAAGATGTGTCTTCATTTCTACAACATGTTGAAGACTTTCCATGAAAAAGTCTATAAATTAAATTAAAGCTGTGCCTACAGAAAAAAATCAGGCTGCATAACTGTATGTACAAAAGGCATGAAAAAGGGTCCCTGACTATTGTATTGGAAGAAATCCCCACTGGAATCCTCAGTTAGTTTAGCCTGATGGTGTCTTACACAATAGTTTAAAGCAAAACCTAATCAGTACTATGTACTGGTTTAATAAAAAATATCAATGCATGCAAGGGCTTTATTATACTCATTATCTGTTTCTTCCCTTGTCCCACAAGCTTTACCCTACATAGCTTCAAGTTCTTAGAAATTATTTCTAAAGAATTGCTTCTGTTTCCAAATTTTTACTACTGAAGGGTTCATACCTGTCACATGTACAAGAGGAATCTTTTTAAGGCTTTCATTTTCTTTGACAGCATTATGTACATTTGTATCTCCAGAAGGATTTTCAGAATATTCCCTTCACAAAAGGAGGATAAATGAAGACAGCACCTAGACCTCTGGTTCTGTGTAAACTCACATCCTCAGACAGTGAGCCTGGCTTTGGAATGACACTCCTGACTCCAGTATTGTCTCCTCACTGTTTTAATTTAATGGCTTTCAAACTGTGAAGAGTATTGCAGTTCTGAAATCTTCAGGCACACATTTGCAGATCAAATTTAAAGCTTTAATCGTTGAGTTTCTTTTCAAATTATTGTATATAAGCCATTCAGTGCAACAAAAGCCCTAAAATCAGCACACCTTACCTTGCCCATGAGGGAGGCAAAGCAGCAGCATTATCCTCTTTCACTGGAATTTACTGTATGAAGCTCTTAATATCTGATTTTTTTTTTTCTTTTTCAAAAATTCAGGACATAATGAATTCTTCTTTTTTCAGCCAAGCCATTGTGCTTTAGGCCTTTGAGCCTTTATTATAACGAATTTAATGTTGTCCTTTTCTCCCACCTGTTAAATGATGTTCAGAATCCATTTCAGAAGGTGACATATTTTGTAATACATGTGCTTATTGTACACATAACTTTGTATATTTTGTTGATACACAAAAGGATTGAGTCACTTTCATGGCAGTATTGAAAATAATCTTACCTTGGTCATGGATGGTGAAATTGTACTCCCAGGAAGCAAGATTCTGCAAAATTTAAATGTTGTTTAAGGACAATCTACTGTGGTGGTGAGATTATACTTGTGTCATATTAGGCAGTGGGATTTACATGACATTGAGCATAAAACTGAATTTTTCTGATAAAGTATTATTGAAGTTGTGCACATAATGACAGACAAAACAGCAGGATCTCAGCTGTGTTATAAATTGTTCAGTAAGTGGAGCTGTAAATTTAAATTTGGCTCACTCCCTTTATTTTCCTTTGTATCCTTATTCATAGATAAATATTGCAACACATTACTGAATCTAGTGTTGGCGTGGCCATCAAATTAACACAAAACCCACAGCCACCACCTGCATTGTTAGCCAAATTTATCAGCTCAGTTTATTCAAGTATCATCCAAAATACAGAGCTGGAAGCTAGAGCTGTGCAGATAACACAGACAACACTAAGATCTGTAGCCTTCTTGCAAAATAGGTTACTCTTCCTGATTTCTCGTGGAAGAAATGTAATTAATGTTGATAGTCCTGAGCTATTTTTACACATGTGTGCATCTGTGTGGACATTTCAAATTACACATGCAAACCACCACGCACCCATGTGTTGAAGGTTGCTGGCAAAAGTTAAGAATCGATACTCAGTTCTCCTGAATGACATATGCTAGAAGAAATTAGCTTTTAACCCTCTGGAAAAATTTACATTTGTCTTTCATGCATTACATTCTGAAAATTTTTTTCCAAAAATCAAGGGGCCATTTTGCTTTCCTGCAGTTCAAATCGGGCACATTTCTGTGTTCTGTTTTTCCCTTTTTGCAGTTAGCAAGCCATACATCATGACTGTCAATTCTGCTGCTGCATCTTTCACAGGACGATAAGCAGTGAAGAAAAAGCACATTGTCAACCAGTCAAGCAGGAACACCCTGTTAACAGCAGCTTCATCTGACCAGGGTACA